CTGCCACAGACCTTGAGCACGGGGGAAAAGAGCAAAACCCTTGGGAAAGCACAGGCTGGCCGAGGCATGAGAGCACCTACGGAGAGGAGAGGAGTAGTGGGGGCTGCTGACAGGCCCTGTGTGCAGGGCAGCCTGGCTGTGAGCACAGGGTCATGTGTGAAGATGCTTTCTCCTCCAGCCTTCCCTCTCCCTGGCATAGAAGACCCTCGACCTTGAGCACGGGGGAAAAGAGCAAAACCCTTGGGAAAGCACAGGCTGGCCGAGGCATGAGAGCACCTACGGAGAGGAGAGGAGTAGTGGGGGCTGCTGACAGGCCCTGTGTGCAGGGCAGCCTGGCTGTGAGCACAGGGTCATGTGTGAAGATGCTTTCTCCTCCAGCCTTCCCTCTCCCTGGCATAGAAGACCCTCCAGAAGCAGAACAGTCAGACAGGGACCCCCTAACACCACGGTACCACCACAGACCAGGCTCCTGCAGCACCCCAGAACTCCCCAAAGCCTCAAAGGCTGCACAGCCCCAGCACAGCCGCTGCTCTCGCTTCCTCCTCTGCCTGCATTTACCTCCTCAGCTCTCCTCTCCAGCAAAAAAGCTGGAGGAACACCCTGGCCCTGCTGCCCACAGAGCTCTTCCCCAGTGCTCCCATCAGCAAAAGCCAGCCAAGGCACTCAACCACGTATTTCTGTGCTGGGGTTTCTGGTGATAAAGGCCAATGGAAGGACCAGCCTGGCCAGAAATGGCTGTTTCAGCACGGGTAGGTGATGTCTGCATGCAGGACATGGGACATGTCACAGCTCCAGAGAAGTGGGTGGCTGGACACCCAGGAGCTTGTTACCTGGCCACTGTGCAGAGAGGAGCAGGAAATAGCAGGGGGTGCCCATTAGGGGAAAAAGGGCAGGAAAAATCAGCACAGGAAGATTGGGACAGCCTGAAGGCAGCAGCTGAGCACGTGGCCTGGGGAGATGGGGCTTCTTCATGGACCTGCTGACCTGAGCGTGGAGCTCCCAGCTCATCCCTGCTGCCCGCAGGCGCCTGCAGAGCTGGAGCAGGTCAGGGTGTGAGAGCAGAAGGGCAAGGCACAAAACCACAGCAAAGACCACATTTACCTCGGAAAAGGGGCCCAAAGTGCGCCAGACCTGGGGAGAAAGAAAGGAGGGGATGGAGAGAGAAGGGGAATCACAGAGTCACGGAGGACAGGGGAGGTGGGAGAGAGGCAAAGCCAAGCAGTTGTGTGTAAGAGAGAGCCACAGGCAGGGTGGATGAGGAACAGGGATCCTGTGCATGGTTAGGAGCCTGCCCTGGTGACCAGGGGACCCTCACAGGCACAAACCTCCCCCCCGTGCAGAGGGGGCAGGGAGCCACACGGCAGAGCCAGGAACAGGGACAACAAAGGGACCACAGAGCAGAGCAGGGTCTGGGGCTGCTACCAGCGCTGCTGCCCTGCTGCGAGTGGGAGTGGGAGGGAATGAGGCACCTCCTCTGCCCCACGCAGGCTGCAGCAGCAAAACCAGCCCCAACCATACGTGGGAAGGGGCCCCTCCAGGCATCCAGCACCGTGTTGGCTTCTTCCCCTTGGCTGGGCTCAAACCTCAGCAAGGCCAAGTGAGCCCTGGCTGTGTTTGCATGAGTGTGTCTCTGAACAGGCTCAGACCAGTGCAAACACTCCAGAGCCCCAGGCATGAGCTCGGCTGTGAGGCCGAGGGAGAGCAGGGAGCAGGGCAGCAGAGCCAGGATGAGCCCAGGGCTGGGAGCCAGAGGTGCTGCCTTCCTGCCAGGGCAGGGCAGGCTGAGCTGTGTCTGGGGGAGCTCTCTGCACACTCCCCAGTTTGGGAGCTGCTCAGGAAAACAGCCCAGCAAACCCCACAGAGCACTGTTACTATTGCTTGTACATCCCATGTTCCTCTACCACCTTATCCCTGTTTAGCTCCGAGAGCATCCCTGCTCCTGCAAAGGGAGCTGGAAGTCACCCAGCTCAGGAGGGTAAAGCCAGAGGTACAAATTCCTCTGTGTAATGGGGTTTGTGCCAGTGCCTGCTTCCACCTCTGCCAAAGTGAGGTCCCTCGTCACCCCCAGCCAGGGCAGAGCTCTGTCCACAGCAGGATGGGTGGGAAGGGTCTTTCCAAGCAGAGGCCCTGGGAGCCAGCGCTGCCTTTTAGTCCCATTCATCTGGTATTAGGCAGCAGAGAACTTGGGGAGCCAAGGGAGGGCTTTGTGGGTGACACAGACCTTCTGTGCACAGAGAAGAGCTCCCCAGAACAACGGGGCCCCACCAAGGTGAGACGTTCCGTACAGCTCTGGAAGAAGCCCCATGTGAGCTGCTCCCCATCTTCCCATCTCCTCACCAGCTCGTGCTGCTCCTGCATCTGGGTGATCTTCTTGCTGTACTTCTGGTCCACTTGTTTCAGCTCAGCTACCACGGCCTCACACTTCTCACTCAGCACCTTCTTATCTTCAATGAGCTGCGCAGGGTGAAGAAAAGGCATCAGCAGGGGGCAGGGTAAGAAGCCACCTCAGCTTCTGGCTCCAGAAGCACCACTCTGAGCTGGGATGAAGGACTACCTGGTCGATGAAGGCCAGATGCCTCTGGATAGCTGCCTCATACTGTTCCCTCTGCAGCCTGAGCTGGTGGCCAAGCTCCTTCTCAGTCTGTTTGACGTGCTGGACAGTCAGTTCCCTCTGCTGAGCCTTTTGGATGTAGGGAAGAAAGAGCCAAAAGACATTAGAAGAAGTTACACCCACCCCAGCATGTGCACAGAAGGTATCTCTTGAACCTGGAAGGCACTGTCAGGCCAGAACAATGAGGAACAGAGCTTAATCACATCCCTGGCACTCACACCTCCTGCCCGCTGACAGCAGGAACGCCCACAACCCCATGGGACAGAGGAGCAGGGAGCTCAGCCCAGCAGCACTTTGCTGGGGACACAGATGGGAAGCCCTGTTCAGAGCCCTGCTCTTGTGCTTTGAAGCCGCTGCCCCAAGAAACATGTGCTGAGGGCTCTGAGCCTCCCTTCCCAGGAAGCAAACACATGTGGCTCACACACCAGGGCGGTCTGCAGCAGGCTGACGGCTCGCTTCTTCTCCTCCACTTCCAGCTTCAGCCTCATGATGGAGCTGG